ATTATTATTTATTATTAATTAATCTATATATTATATTTGTTTGAACATAAACTACGTGTTGTATGAGGAAAACTATTTGAATTTGAGATACCTGAGATACGATTAGTATTGCGAAAAATAGACGTATGTTTTAAAGAAGTTAAAAAATGTATAGTTTCCTTTTTTCTGACCTTTAATAAGTATTCATTTCTTTAAGTTAATTTTTCTTTCGGTTATTTTCTGTTGAAATTTGTAGAAAATAAATTAATATATCTATATGAAATATATAATAATCATATATATATATATATATAAGTATATTAGAATACACTATTACACATTTACAAATGTATTATTTTCTTATATACTAATATGTATATAATAATATATTAATCTCAAATTGGATAATGTATATTTTTAATTTTTGAATTATAATAATTTTTTAATTATATTTGTTTGAACATAAACCGCGTGTTGTATGACAAAAACTATCTGAATTTGAGATACCTGAGTTACGATTACTATTACAAAAAATAGACGTATATTTTAAAGAAGTTAAAAAATGTATTATCAGTAAAACAACAAATAATAGTGCCGTAGAAAATTTGTATTTCAGTGTTTAAACATCAAAGCCTAAAGTCCATTGTAATGCAGTAATGAAATCATACAAAAGGGTTGTTGGCCGTGGATACTGAAAGAAGAGAAGGAGAAAGGGGAGGGGTCCCTGTTGGAGGGACAGAGATAGTATAAGAGCCGGTATCATGAAAAGAAAGTAAAAAAAAAATTGAGAAGTGGCGAGAGAAGGGTGAAAGAACAATGAAGAAAAAACAAAGAGAACCTTCCTACCACCAATTGGGGGAAATATGAATCCCACACCATGGTCAGTTGGGCTAATCAAAAAATCTACTTTGTAAAAAAAAACAACCGATCTAATACGTTATTATAATATACATAATACCACACTTTTGTGTTAGGCCTTAGAGAAGAAAAAAAATGTTCTGTATATTTCGTCGAATCGATTATTTCTTCAACGTTTTATCTTTCAACCTCGGTAAGAGTTATTCTTGTCTCAGCTAAGAAAAGCAACTGAAAAAAAAAAAAGAATAATGACGAGTGTTCGTTTCGAATGAGGAAGTTAAGCGGAACGAAGGATTTTTCAAGATTTCTTCCTAATCTGGATGATTTCTAAAAGAAATAAAAAGTATTCAAAATTATTCAACCGATTCATCCTGTTGTTAAAAAATAATAGAAAATAAAAGCATTCCTTTTAATACATACACACATATATATATATATATATACCTGTTCATCCCGTTCGTGTCATAAAGCATTGACGTAACTGTTTCCGGGAATTCGGATTGAAATTCATTGCTATGGGGATTAATACGGGACATACTTCCTTCGTAAATCCCACCCGCTTACCTTTTTCCCTTTGTTCCTAATTGTGCTTGTGGGATTGGTTCGATGACTAGCGGCGGTAGAACCAAAATAATAGATACTCGTGTAGCCGTAAGGGTCGAGGTGAGGCGTGGAAAAGGTAAAAGAATCCTTCGGCAAGTAGAAAAAAAAAAGAATAAAGAAGCAAAGAGATGTTTGAAAGAGGAAAGCCGACTCAGGTATGTGATGTGATGTGATGTGATGCCTTTCCTATAGCATGTAGTTATAGTATACAATATAGAAAGGCCCAGTCTCACATTGCCGAATAAAACCGAAATTTGCCGAATATTAACGAACGGAATGGGGACCAGCTAAGATCCGAAATGTTCCGACAATGCACGAGAGTTTGTTGTGAATCCCACAAGTTCTATTCTAGGGCAAGTCTTACATTGCCGAGTAAGAACGAACATTGCCGAGTATTAACGAACAACTTTTGACGAACAGTACGAGATGTTCCGACAATGCACGAGGAGTTTGTTGTGAATTCAAGCAGTTCGAGTATCGACGCTCGACTGTACGGTTCGATTCGATTCGTTGTAACACGATATATTTGTTTAATTTATCAACACAGAGTGTGTTATATATATATTATAATTATTATTTTTTTCTGTTTTTTTTCTTATGACACAAAGGGTGTGATTTAATTTTACGCCAAGGAATATTATTAATCGCGATCGAAGTAGAGGATCAATGATTTTTTCGAATTTAATTCAAATATTCGCGAAGGAGCGCGCCGAATTTCAATTAAAAATGTATCATCGATATTGTTTATGTGTTACGTGAGATTTAAATATTATTACAAGAGAAGAAGAAGAAGAAGAAGTTATCTATTTATCTCTGTGTGATTTTATAATAGAAAAATATATTTTGTTACGAATCCTAAACGAAGAGATTAAAAGGATAATGAAATATCTTTGGAGACAGATCACGTTATTATTAACAATTTTTGGCCTCGTTAAATCATGGGGCATTAATCACGCTGGTCAAACTGGACAAAATAAGAAATGCGAAAGATTAAACGTTTCATTTTGCCATGGATTGCGTTACAATCTTACCGCAATGCCGAATTTTATGGGACACGAGGATCAGTTGCAAGCTGAACGTGGCGTAAGTTTCTTATATAATTAATCTTTATTTTATTTTTATATTTATATATATATATATAAAAAATATA